ACCAGGCCCCAGCCCACCGGCCCCTCCGCACCAGGCCCCCAGCCCACCAGCCCCTCCGCACCAGGTCCCAGCCCACCAACCGCTCCGCACCAGGCCCCAGCCCACCAACCCCTCTGCACCAGGCCCCCAGCCCACCGGCCCCTCCGCACCAGGCCCTCAGCCCACCAACCCCTCCGCACCAGGCCCCAGCCCACCAGCCCCTCCGCACCAGGCCCCAGCCTGGCTAGAAGGGTGAATAGTTGTTAATGGGGACTGTTAATGGCTAACAATAAGTAGTGTGTACTGGTGGACTATGTGATAACAAGGCCTGGTGTTTGGGTGGTAGGGGGCTGGGACATGGAGAGTTTAGGCCCTAAAATTATTGAACTCAATATTGAGTCCGGAGGGCTGTAGGGTCCCCAAGCAGAAAATGAGGTGTTGTTCTTCCAAGTTGTGTAAGCTTTGCCAGAACACTGCAGCAAGCCTGAGGCTCTCCCCCTTCAAAATCTTAAATGCACATTCAATCACATTTAAGACAGACAAAAGAGAGTTTAACATACATAGAATGGGTGGAAAAATAAACAAATTTCTAAAGATTAGAAGTTCAGGCCACAATGTTGAAGGTATTTTCTCACTATTCTTTTGATTTCTGCAATGACATACTGCTGTCTGTACGGTGATGACTATCCCTTGACTTGATCAGGTGAACTTGGGTCTTTCTTAGTTGCAATTCATTCTTTTGAGCTTATTTGGTTCTTCTGTCTTTCCCCCCACAGAGAGAGTGAGAGAATCAGCAAGAGTGTGTGTGTGTGTGTGGGGGAGAGAGAGAGAGAGAGAGAGAGATGCTTTCTGTCACAGAGTCATACAGCATGGAAACAAACCCTTCAGTCCAACCATTCCATGCCGAACATAATTCCAAACTAAATTAATCCCACCTGCTCCTGGCCCATATCTCTCCAAACCTTTCCTATTCATATTCTTCCCTAAGCGTCTTTTAAACGGTGTAATTGTACCCGCATTCATCATTTCCTCAGGAAGTTCATTCCACATGCAGACCACCCTCTGCGTAAAATCATTGCCCCTCATGTCTTTTTTCAAATCTCTCTCCTCCCATCTTAAAAATATGTCCCCTAGTCTTGAAATCCCCCATCTTGAAAAGACAACTACCATTCACCTTATCTGTCTCTCTCATTATTTTATAAATCTCTATAAGGTCACCTCTTAACCTCCTAGACTCCAATGAAAAAATTCCCAGCCTATTCAACCTTTCTTTATAACTCAAACTTTCCATACCTGGCAACTTCCTGGTAAATGTCTTCTGAAGCCTCTCTAGCTTGATAATATCATTCTTAAAACAGGGTGATTAGAACTGTACACACTACTCCAGAACACACCTCACCAATGTCCTGTGCAACCTCAAACGACTGAACAATGAAGGCAAACGTGCTAATTGCCTTTTAAACTACCCTATCTATATATGACACAAACTTCAAAGAATTATGTACCTGAACTCCTATGTCCCTCTGTTCTACAACACTACCCAAGGCCCTACCATTAGTTGTATAAGCCCTACCCTTGTTTATTGTACCAAAATGCAATACCTTGCATTCATCCAAATTGAAATCCATCTGCCATTTTTCAGCCCATTAGTCGATTCTGTCTTCAGTTCCTGGATGTTTTGCATTCCCTACTGTTCTTGACATTTTAACACTCTGCAGATAAACCAATCAGTGAGCTGTTGCCAGGCAGAATCTCCTGAAAACAAAAGCTTCTTGGTGCTTTCCAGTCTCTCTTTCTCCATTCTGCTGCTTCTGAAAACAATATTGTATTGCATAGCTCAACAATACACAACACTTGATTTTCAAATTGTAAAATATTCCTGGTTTTCCGGTTATGACATTTCAGCTTCCATTTCACTTTATTGTCTCCAAAAAAGTTAAAAATATATCATTTCCTACACGGTAACAGAATACTGAATGGCCTGGACAGAGTGGACGTTGGGAAGGTGCTTCCATTGGTAGGAGAGACTAGGACCCGAGGGCACAGCCTTAGAGTAAAGGGAAGACCTTTTAGAACGGAGATAAGGAGAAACTTCTTCAGCCAGAGAGTGGTGAATCTATGGAATTCACTGCCACAGAAGGCTGTGGAGGCCACGTCATTGAGTACATTTAAGACGGAGATAGATAGGTTCTTGATTATCAAGGGGATCAAGAGTTACAGGGAGAAAGCAGGAGAATGGGGTTGAGGAACTTATCAGCCATGATTGAATGGCAGAGCAGACTCAATGGGCCGAATGGCCTAATTT